TAGCTTGTCCTACAGCAGAGTAAGTCCAATACATGGTTGCTATGGATCAAAAACTCAAGATTGTTAAATCTAAATAAAAGCATCAGGCTCCGATGCCAATTGTTATCCAAAAAGCAACCTAAGTGGGGGGTAAATTAGGGTTCTAAAAATTAAAATTAATAATACCCCAATAAAATTAACTACTAGTACAACAAATTATTAACAAGTACAATGATGAACTTAGCAGTAAATGATCAAGTAAAATAACAATGAAGTATAACTAACATATAGGGTAAATCAAATGATTAACACATGAATATTAGATAGCTATAGCAATAGTAGGAAAGTAAAGAGATTTGGGAAGAGGAGACAAACAAATTTATAGTGATTCGGTTTCAACCAAGCCTACATCCACTCCTCAAGTTTCACTTGAGATTTTTCACTATCTTCTAGCTTCATAGGGGTGCTAGCAACCTCTTTACAAATGGAGCAATCCTCCACAGATTTTACACAAACTTCACAAGCCCAAGCCCAAACCCAAACCCTTGCAAATCTTAGGTGATTCATAATCACTCTCAAGATTTCAAGAATACAGTGTTTGCAACACTTTTACAAGATGAAATGGTATTTTTGCTTTCAAAGAAAGCTTACAATAAATATCTCTCAAAGATAGATATATAAAATAAAGCTTTGATTTTTCTGTAAATCTCACACAGGAAAGATGGGCTTAAAGCTATAAGGCTCAGTGTATAATTTCTGAGAATAGATTTGAGTAATTATAGATCAAAGAATATTTTCAGGTTTTTGTTGTAACTTGTTTACATTAGAGGCTTTGGTATATATAATGAAAATTATAACCGTTTATAGCCGTTGTAATTATTTGAATTTATAGCCGTTGTACTTCCATCATTACCAATTTAAATTTATAGTCGTTTATAATCGTTGTACTTCCATTATTACTAATTTGAATATCTTCCACTCCATCATTACAAGTTTGAATATCTTCCACTTTAATCTTTTGAACCTTTTGGCCTTTTGAACATTTATAGCCGTTTATAGCCGTTGTACTTCCATCATTACTGATTTAAATATCTTCCATTTGAACCTTTTGAACCTTTTGGCCTACTGCTGTGCTAGACTGTTTGAACCTTTGTTTTGGGCTGTTTGAACTCCTGATTTAATCAAATATTAAATACATTCTAAAACATTTAGGATAAATGTTTAGGTGAGAAATAATGAGACAAGATAAATTTTGATTCTATTTTTTTCTTTCAAATAAATCATCAAAATAAATTTTGATTCTATTTTTCTCTTCTACATAAATTAAAACATAATTAAATAAATTATCAAAATAAATAAGTCTAACATAAGGTTCATCTAATATATCATTTATACAAAAAATCAAGTCAATCAGAAATCCGCAACCCCATGATCAAATTCAAATTGTTTTACAAAAATTATCAAGATAATGTTAACCTTTTATTTTTTCAAAAAAAATAAATGTGTTTTAGTTATAAAGCTATAGATTTCCAATCAATTTGATTTTTTGCATTGGTGATTTATTCAACAAACTCTATAATATGAACGGTTCGGATTATCAAAAAAATTCAAAAAAAAATCTCCATTATTGTTATTTAGTCACAGTAACATCCCTTGATCCAAACACAACTCAATTGCCAAACGAGAGCTTAGGGTTGTTTGACAATGAATTTTTGGCTAAAAAAACATAAAAGACAAAATAGACTAAGTAAGCCAATAAGACAAAATATCATATGCAAATTATAATTATTTTACTTTTTTCTCACAAAAATTAAAAAAGCCAAAAAAGTCAAACCAAACAAACTTTTAATCTCAAATAATTAAAAAATCAAAAAACTAACTAAAAAAACTAATTGTCAAACGGTGACTTAATGAAGTGACATTATTACTTATCTTCATTGTAATCCTAAAATACTAAAACATGGAAGAAAAAGGTAAATGCTTATTCATTTTTTAGGTCTCGTTTGGTATGTAACACTTTTAGTTTAAAAGTCAAAAAGTTATTAAAAAATTAAAAAAGCTTATAAATTATATTAAAAAGTCTAAGATTCTTTTTTTCTCTCTACTTTTTGTGCCTAAACAGCTTATAACTTATAACTATGAACATAAGCTGATTTCTGACTTATAAATTAAGCATCTCCTGCCCCACTCAAAGAATAAGCTGATTTCTGACTTCCAAAAGCTATAAGCTATAAGCTATAAGTTATAAGCTAAACCAAACACATCAAAATAGCTTAAATTAAGCTGAAAGCTGAAATAAGCAGCTTTTAAGCTGCATCAAACAGGTACAATGACTTTTTGGCTAAAAAAACATAAAAGACAAAATAGACTAAGTAAGCCAATAAGACAAAATATCATATCCAAACCATAATTATTTTACTTTTTTCTCACAAAAATTTAAAAAGCCGAAAAAGTCAAACCAAACAAACTTTTAATCTCAAATAATTAAAAAATCAAAAAACTAACTAAAAAAACTAATTGTCAAACGGTGACTTAATGAAGTGACATTATTACTTATCTTCATTGTAATCCTAAAATACTAAAACATGGAAGAAAAAGGTAAATACTTATTCATTTTTTAGGTCTCGTTTGACATGTAACACTTTTAGTTTAAAAGTCAAAAAGTTATTAAAAAATTAAAAAAGCTTATAAACTATATCAAAAAGTCTAAGATTCTTTTTTTCTCTCTACTTTTTGTTCATCTTTTCATAAAAAAACTAAAAAATCATTCTAAATATATTAATTTTTTTTACCTCATATTTTAGCTAAAAACTTAAAAAATTACTAAAATATCATGTTCCTAAACGAGGTCATATCATGTTCCTAAACGAGGACGTGTAGGCAAGATTGCATTGTAAACATTCTCAATAAATATTTACATAAAAAATAATTTAGGAAGATCATATATATTTTGATTCATTCAATCACAAGGCTGTGTTTGGGAACAATAATTTTTTATCCTGGTTTTTTTTTGTCTTTAGTAAAAAATTGAAGACAAACTGAAATTTTTTGTTTACTTTTCAAATATCTATCAACTCTAGGATGATTTTTTTTTAAAAAAAAAATTATTTTAACTTTTTATTTATTTTTAAAAAGATTTTTTTTTTGTGTGGTTTTTTATTAAAAAAAAAAGTAATAAAAATATAAAGAATCAACAAACCGTCGCTAAAAAAGTAATTGTAAAACCTAAGCTAAAAATACGCCACTCCCCGTACTCCCCTTTTCTCAAAAAAAAAAAAAAAAAAAAAAAAAAAAAAAAAAAAAAAAAAAAAAAAAATTTGATATCACTCGCTCCAACGGTGAACTTTCATCAAATTTGCGCCGGGACAACCGGTTGGTCGACCGGTAAGGCAAAATTTTTTTTTTATACTGTTTGAACCTTTTCTTGGAACTGTTTGAACCTTTTGGTGGTCGACCGGTTGGTCAACCGGCCGGGCAACCGGCTGGTCGACCCGGTCCCCCTTGTAACGGTCACCAACAGTGTTTTGGTGAAATCAGTATTTCGTCGTCAATTTGATAAATTTTTTGATGAAATCTCAATTTGATATTCATTTGGTACCACCGTTGGAGCTGTGAACAGTGGTTTTTTCATCAAAATTTGAATTTGATATCAGTTTTGGTGAACCATTGGAGATGGTCTTATAATCACCTATTTTAAAGTTTGAAGAATATTTTTTTTATTTTTTTTGATGGGCAAGTTTGAAGAATATATATATATATATATATTAGTGGGTGGTACATGCAAGTGTGTGTAATTTAGATAACTAATAACAAAAATAAATAATAAAAAATTTAATGAAACTTAGGGTTTTGGATTCAAAATTTACTTACGTCGTGTATAATAATTTTTTTATTTTAGCATATATAAAGTTGTCACATGGCATGAGAAGAAGAAGGTTTCATTAAACCAATTTAGGCCTTCACTCAATAATAAAGTTTAAAGAATATACGGGATTCTTTTGGGAAGTGGGTTAATAGCCAAAAACCAGCTTTTAACCCTTTTTGGGTCATATCATCTATCATAATTTTTATATTTTTTTTTTCAAAAAAAGTCAAAAAATCTGCTTTTAACCATCTTTCCAAAACAACACACACTTAATTCTATACTTTTGATATTATTACATTGACCTCTCTTGATGTTTTAAGTCACATAACAATTAAATTATTTTTTATCAATAATTCATTAATTGTACGAATATAAAAATAATAAGTCATATATTTTTAACTAAAATATATATTTACCTTTATCTATTAAAAAGAAATATGAATGTAATTATGTCAAAATTATAAAATTTATCATTTTTTATTTAAATTTCAAAGAAGGTTGATGTTATTTACCTGTAACTTTGGGTTTTTGAGTATGAATTATAAGTTTATTTTTTTACTTATTACGAAAGAACGTAAAAAAAAAATAGAAAAATGATATAACCCAAATAAGTCAATAAGTTAAATTTTTTAAATATTATTTAAAGAGACCTTATTATAATTAGTGTAATAGATGAGACAAATAAAGCAATATTAGCTAATAATTACTCCCTCTTTTGTATTTTTTTAATCCACCTTTCTATTTTAGTCCATTTCAAAATATTTGTCCACTTTTATTTTATGTTTTAAAATTTTCAAAATTACCTATTACATACAAATACAAACGTACTTTCAAAATTAAAATCAAAATAATAGATATTATAGTAAAAATATTTTAAATTTTAAATTGATGTGTAATGATACTAGTCTCCGAAGGGTCATTTTGAGAAGTGTGTTATAATTCGCTTCTCAAATTATAACCCACTTCTTCTCTCACAAAAAATTATTTATAAACTGTTTATAAATAACTTTTTATCAAAAAGTGAATTATAATCATCTTACTAAAATAATACTAAATAAATTGAATTCCTTAAAATAGATAAATAAATTAGGAGGGAGGGAGGGAGTAGTAGTGTAATTAACCATTTTTATATCCATAAATAGGAATTTTTTCATTTTTTGGGTCTTGCATTCTCTCTCTCCTCTCCCACATACACATACATTCTCTCTCTCTCTAGGATCCCTGCATCACAATTGACATACACATTTCCAGTGACCCACATGGTTTTCATTTTTCTTCTTCTTGCTCTCCTGTAAGATCCCCAAATTCCTCATACATATACACACACATTTGCAGGGAGATATATATACATATAGATACAGATCAATCACAATCTGTATCATCATCAAAAACCCACCATGGATCTCCCACCTGAAGAGCTCCAATTCCTGAGCATCACTGACATCCTCAAAGAATCCACCTCAATCCCAAAACAATCCCCAAAAACCTTCTACCTCATAACCCTAACCCTAATTTTCCCTCTCTCCTTCGCCATTCTCGCTCACTCTCTCTTCACCCTCCCTCTTCTCACCCAAATCGACTCCCCATTTGGTTCTCACTCCTCGCAATGGACCAAACTCCTCATCTTCCAGTTCTTCTACCTCATTTTCCTCTTCGCTTTCTCTCTCCTCTCCACAGCCGCCGTAGTTTTCACCGTTGCCTCTCTCTACACCTCCAAACCCGTCTCTTTCTCCTCCACTCTCTCTGCAATTCCCAGCGTTTTCAAGCGACTTTTCATCACCTATTTATGGGTTACTCTCACAATGTCCATCTACAACATTGTCTTTGTGGGTTTTTTGATTCTTCTCCTCATTGCTGTTGATACCCAGAACCCAATTTTGTTCTTTTTCTCCATGATTGTGATTTTCCTTCTTTTTCTTGTTGTTCATGTTTACATTACTGCGTTGTGGCACTTGGCTAGTGTGGTTTCGGTGCTCGAACCGGTTTATGGGTTCACGGCAATGAGGAAGAGCTATGAGTTGTTGAAGGGGAGGACATGGATGGCCATTGTGCTTGTTTTCGTGTATTTGGCGATTTGTGGTGTGATTAATGGGATTTTTGGAAGTGTTGTGGTTCATGGTGGAGAGGATTATGGGATTCTTGTGAGGATTATGGTTGGTGGGTTATTGGTTGGGGTGTTGGTGATTGTGAATTTGATTGGTTTGATGGTGCAGAGTGTGTTTTATTATGTTTGCAAGAGTTATCACCATCAAGGGATTGATAAGAGTGCTCTGTATGATCATCTTGGAGGATATCTTGGAGAGTATGTGCCTCTCAAAAGCAGCATTCAGATGGAGAACTTGGAAGTTTGAGACCATGGTGAGGGAGGTTATTATATCTACTTGCTTTTTGTATGCAATGGAATGATATGTAAAGGGGACACCTTTAAATGGCTGGGTGAGTATTCTGTTTCTTGGGTACTCATATTTGTTTGTCAAAATAAAGATTTTAGAAAGTCCTTGCTTTTGTTGTTGGATTATACTCAAATGTAGTTTCATGGAATGATCTTATGTTGTTCAATGGTGATATAGGTGGAAGAACTTGATTTTGTTGATTCATTTGTGTGTTGTCACTCAAATCATAAGTAGGTATTCATAGTATGCTTCCAGTTTTAAACTCGTGTATATACTCTGCTGTGTTGTTTATTCCTTATTTTTATTATTATATCTTTGATAGTTACATTAGGCCTTTCAATTCTAAATTAATGCATTCTCTATGAGGAGAACTAGATTTTATTGAACTCAATTGCGTTGTCAATCAAATCATAAATGGGTATTATATATTTGTAATCGTAGTTTATAAATTAATTAATGGGGTTGCAATTATTTTCCAGTTATTTGTGTATATACTCAGTTATGGTTGTTTATTCATTATTGTTATTTAAATGAGGCCTTTCAATTCTAAATTAATTAATTTATTATTTGGAGAATATTTGGTCCACGAAAGACCATTCAAGACCCAGTTTTGATAAGAAGCCTATAAATGCATCCCAAAAATATGGTTGGAGATCCCATTTATTTGAAAATTCTATTCCCAAATTTAAATTTTGTTTTTTTTCTTTGAACACCCCAAGTATTTCCAACTTTAACTCCAACCACCTCACCCACCCTCTGCCATCTTCGACGCCGATGCTGGACATCACATGTGAGGGACCTTCATGCAAATATAATAACAAAAATTTAACATAGACTTGTAATATCTGTCTGATGAACACATTAGTGGTTTATTTTGAGTTAGTTTTTTGTTATTTGTGATTGTTTGTGGATAAAAATTAGCTAATAAAAATATATATTTCTATCATATCCTTGTTGTGTCTGTCTTAATTTTTTGAAAATCATCCCATCTCTTGTCCATACCCCTTTTTGTGTCAGTGATTGTGTCCATATCCATGCTCTTGGGCCACAACCATAAAACGTCTGTAGATCAATGCTTAAAAACGGGTGCATATGATATACAATTTAACCTGAATTGCTTTTTGAATAAGCAGTGAGCTGGTTTGTGTTAGCATCTGCCTTATCAAGTTATTACATTCTTACTTCTAAAATGTTATTTTGTGGAGAAATTATTCAATGCTCTTGGAGAAATGACACATTTCATATTTCTTCTAAAACTCCAACACGAAAATGATGAGTCCTATAGCTATTAAGCAACATGGGGACTTGCTCCATGAGCATCAAATAATTTTTCCAATATGTGCGCTATATATAAGCCTATTCAGATCTTCACTATTCACATTTTGCATATAGTTCCCATTCCCATTTTCACATGACATTGATCTTAACTAGTATTACACGCTTGGGTTCCATTTTGTTTGATGGATTATTTTATAGCTATTGTTAAATGGCAGAGAACTTGCATAATGCAAACTATTTCGTCTTAGCTAATTTTTTGTGTTAATGTTGTAGAGGGACATAAATTCAGGTCGAAATTAAGTATAGATCTAAGTGCTGAGATTGCCCCTGTTAGGCGAGCAAGAATGATTAAAGGAGCATGGAGTAAAGCTCAAGGAAAGTGGGTCAATAGTAGATCGGAACAGGTTCGACCCGCCAAAGGTCCAAACAACCTCCATGAAGGAAAATGGCTAAGTCAAGTTGTGGAGACAACACTTGTAGCAGTCAAGTTACAGAGGCACTTTGTTTTAGCGCCGCCATTCCTAGTATTGTCGGTGCTGTCATTCCAAGTATTGTCGGCACCCCCATTTGAACTTGTTGAGAGAAAGAAAACCGCAACAACTAACTTTCTGAGGCAGCACTTGTAACGGCTAAGTTGCTGAGGTACTTTGTTAGCATCGCCATTTCTAATATTGTCAGCGCTGCCATTTGAACTTGCCAAGGAAAATAGGTGCCGCAACTAATTTGGAGAAAGAAGACTCCACCAAGGTGATAGCAGTCTTTGGGGGAAGCTTTCCCTCCACAAGTAAAGGCTAATGCTTGGTGCTAATAGTAGGCCCCCAAAGTCTTATTAGCTCCACGCTAATAGCAGGCCCTGAAGCTTACTGGTTGGAACTGATAATAGGCTTAGAGATACTAGTAAATCGCGGCAAACTCGCAAAGATAAGAGCAGGGTAGCCCAAGCGCAAGGGACTCTCTTTCCATTTACCTAGGTTATGGACCTACCTTGGTTGCATAGACTAGACCAAGGAAGCCCTCTTAGGTTTGGTGCTAAGACGCAATATAGCTGACAGCAGGCTTAATTGTGGCCTTCACCATGAGAAGTTAGGGAGTTTGTGGTTAGGTGGTTAATGGTGGAAGCATCGTTGAAGTGAACATAAATATGGCTGATAGCAGGCTATGAAGTCTTGAGAATGCATGTCTTGGCTAAACCGAACTAAGAAAACAAGTGCAATAGCAATAACTACCGCCGCAAGTGCACTTGCTGAGGTTTGAACTAAAAAGGCATGTGCAACGACAAACATTACCGCCGCAAGTGTACTTGCCGAGGTTCAAAAAGATAATTGCGGAGGTACTTCTGCCAAACAGATAGTACATAATACATGTTAGTACATGCAGAGGGACACGTGGCACCTTCAGCCTGTTGTTCAAAAACAGAATATTTCATGTGATTCTTAGGGACACATGTCCTCACTTTATTTAGCCACTTGATATCCTTTGGCACTGAGAAAAAGCCTATAAATATGACCCATTTCCTAAGGTTCAAGAAGAGGATTTTTGAAAATTTGGGAAAATGCTGCCCATTTGTGCATTGCCATTCTTTTTTTCTTGAACCACTTGCTCCGCCCTCACCTAGTGTCACGACCCAAACCCGCTCCTATAGATTTAACGTCGTAATTGGTCAGTAATCCTAAGATTACTGAAGGCCTTTAAGACAGATTCATAATATTAGGGGCTAGCGAAAACAAATAACAAATATACAATGTCCATAGAGCTATGCGGACTTATATGAAATAGAAATTTCAAACTTTATATATATATATATATATATGTATTAACGCATCATTCTTACGTCATCCAAATGCAGATAAAACAAAAGGGACTTAGCCCTAATACAGATAACTAAAAACTTGTCCAAAAAACGAAAGAAAATAAAAACTTAAAACTGTTCACTTGACATAACATTGAACACAAAGACTTCCGGGAACCTCTACGTGAGGCGCATTGGTTGGCTTGACAGAAACAGATCCAGACGAGAAGCCTCAAGCCTAGTCACGCACCTAATCACCTACATACATAATATAATAATGAGTTGGAGCCTAGTGAATAACAAAAGAGTAAAGGTTTTATGAATGATGTCCATAATAGAGTCAGAAATCAGAAACAGATTCATATACTTATTCAAATATGTAATCAGTCATATGTGGTACATCCATTAGCGCTAACATTTCAGATTGGTCATAAAGACCCACATACAGAGCAAATGGTCACTAAGACCCATATTCAGATCAGACAGATGATTGTACACAATCGTAATAAATAACCATATAGGTTTCACAGATAGTTTCATTAATAGAACCAACAGAGATCCCTGGTACTAGGTAACAGATAACAGATTCACATGATGCTAAGGATGCCACGATACATTTCAGAAATTGGACAATCATTCATTTATATAGAAAATATCATTTCAAAAAACAGAATTTATCATATCCATCAGAAAATGTTGATAATTGAACGTATCTTTACAAGGTTGTTACTCACAGATAGCTCTGGAAGCAAAACAGACGAATCAGACAGATCAGACGAATATTGGCGCGTGACTTACACAAGCACATGACAGATACACGTTGAAACACACGCTCTGTAAACACTTGTCTTATTTCATTTCTTTCTAGATGTGTTTCTAATCCTTATTCTCATTATTATTACTTAAATCATAGCTTAAGAATGCCTAAGATGGAATGAGGATGCAATTATGCACTTTGAAACACTTAGCAAAATTTTAGAAAACAAAGTAGTTCGCTCAAGTGAAGTTTTGGTCACTCGAACGGTCTGCAAAGTTTGCAAAAATACTGGGAGCTCTCATTTCACACTCGAGCCAACTTCTTGATCGCTCGAGCCAAGACTGAAAATAAAATGTGGTCGCTCGACCGGTCTTTTGGTCACTCGAACCAACTATCAAACTCTGCAAAATTTCTGAGAGCTCGAAATTTACGCTCGAGCGACGATTTGGTCACTTGAGCGATGCAACCAAATTCTAGAATTTTCAGATTTCAGTTCCAAGTTCAAAATCCAATTTCAAAGTACCAAAACACATTCTTTTGGGCCAAAACTTAAAGAAATACTTAGGAACTTGTAGAAAAACATGAAATGAAGGTCAATTCTCAAAATCAAAGCCCCAAAAGCATGTGAATTCTTCAAAACCAAACCTTTAACTTAATGTATAGCAAATGCATGTATTGTTTTGAGCTCAATCTCTTTAAATCATGAACAATTAGGATGAAATGGCATGACACATGATGAATTTTCAAAACAAAGCTAGGATTATTACATGCATGTAAGAATTCTTTGGAAAGTAACCTCAAATGCCATGAAACATACATGCATGTATGTATTGAGCTTTAATTCTTCAATCTTAGCTTAATTCATCTATTTAACCACCTAACTCTCTTAAATTCACATGATTAATGGCTAAAACATAGAAGAGTCCTAAGTTGTTCTTCCTAATTCCAAGTCTCTAGCTTAGATGCAAGCCAAATCCTCAATCTTTCTCTCAAATCTTTCCTTGCTCTTAAGTTGAACTCTCTCTCTCTCTCTCTCTCTCTCTCTCTCTCTCTCTCTCTCTCCGTTTTTGCTCTCAAGAGTAAGTAGAACCTTCATTTGCTAAGTTTATATCATGTATTTATAAGTTGGATTAACTCAAACTAATTAAATGTGATTAGAGTTAATTTAATCTAAATAATTAATGTATTCTAATAATTTGATTCCAAATCGAATTCTAATTAAACTTACCATAAAATTTCAAAAAATTTAAATAACACATTGACCTAGTCAATTTCGTGTTCAGATGCTGATAAAGCCTTCAATTAATAGAACAAAGTAGAATTCTAAACAGATATTCCTACGGCTAATAGATAGGAATGCAAAACATATACAAAATGCAC